TTGCGCCCCCCCCCCATGCTTGCACACGTAAGCAAGAAAAAAAAAATGAAGAAGATGAGAGGCCAAATGTTTTTTTTCAAACCCCAATTATTATAATTTTTTTTTTTTTGGATGACTTAAAGTGGCCGGGTTGCCAAAGTCCGTAAATTTCCGGACAGTCCATAAAATTGTGACCTATAATGACTTGCCCGTGGCGACCCTTCTCTCTCTTTATATAGACGGGCGGAATTGTCTGCCAACTGTAGGCCTTTTTTTTTATACACGTAGAAGACGGTGGCGAAATATTACAAGGCGACACTATTATCCTAGCTACGCCATTTCCCGAAAATGACCGTAAGAACTTGAAAATGTCCGTAAAAAATGAGACGTTACCATACGAAAAAAAAAATAATTAAGCGAAACAAAAAGTGATTTCTCAACGTTTTTAATGTCTTCTTAATTGTTTTGAAATTTTGTGATAATAATCAGGAGAAATTCAACACCGATGAAAATACTATACAGTATAAATATGTTATAAAATAGGCTTTATCCTCATGGTCAATGACACCTCCATTGTCATAGCATAATAGTCGTACGGATGTTTAAAAACTTTTAAAGTAAAGCAGTGGCTCTTAACCTGGGTTTGATCGAACCCCAGAGGTTCGATGAGTCAGTCTCAGGGTTCGGCGGAGGTCCAAAAAAATCAGAAAAAAAATCATATCTTATTTTTCCTATTAAGAAGGGTTCGGTGAATGCGCATATGAAACTGGTGGGGTTCAGCAACTCCAACAAGGTTAAGAACCACGGTTTTAAAGTATATTTTAAAAATGCCTCGATACAAAAATGTTAAGAGGGTGTTTGCCACCCCGATCGGGTGGACGATTTTGACCCCCCCCCCCCCCTTCTTTTTTTTACACTAAGAAAATGCTGCAATTGCACGAAATGATGCCCCTGCATATAAAGAGAAAAGTGTCGCCCCTGGCAGAACTTACCCTCCTTCCTACGCCACTGCATATTATTGAAACGTGTCGTAATTACTGGAATATTTAGTGACCAAAAAATAATAATAATAATATGCAGGGCCTATTTAACATGTGTGTGGATAACTCCAGCGCCCATATTGATTACCAGGGTTATCTAACAATGGAGGAAAGCCTACTTGATGCTGCAGCGATTGATCGAGAGGAGAAAGGGTTCAGGCCTGCTGATCAAAAGACATAATAATTACGTCCAGCTTTAAAAAAAAAAAATGCCAATAACGTGAATAATAGTGGCATGTCATTTAATGAATACAGCCTTATCATACATTTCCTTTAACACAATTCCGTCCTTCTTACAGTTCTCGTAGAGCAGTACACGAACTACGATGTGGCTCCCAACGATTTGTGGGTCATGCGCGGAAGCACGGCTGTCCTGCGCTGCGTCATAAACCCACATTACGTCACAGAGTACGTCAAAGTTATTGGCTGGGCACGGGGTGATATGGAACTATATTCAGGTAAAAAAAAAAAAAATTATAATACAACCCTGTTAAATAAAATTGTTCTACCTTAGCTTTAGAAATATGGTTAGTAAGGAAATAGTCTGGGGGGGGTGATTGGGTGAATTACTCCCACTTATTATTAGTATTAGAACTCTCCTTTATTAAAAGATTAATTTTTTCTACTTAATCTTTACGAAAATCTAAATTAGCTCTTGTTAATTTATGACGTGTTAAAAAGAACAGACAGGAGTCAGGAGTGAATAATCGTAAGGCCTGGTGGTGATGATATATAAATTTAAGTCTTTGATTTTCAGATGGAAGAGTCAGTATTTTACAAGATGGTACGCTACACATCAGAAATGTGCAAGATGAAGATACAAGTCTATCGGCACTCTACACTTGCGTAACACGCAATGTTTTGACAGGTGAAAACAGAACAAGTAAAGGAGCATCTTTACGTCTGCATGGTAAGCTATTCAGTATTCTATTATTACCCTATTGCCTATTGGTTAAAAAAATTATGACTTAAGCCTGGAGTAGCCGATGCCTATGCTATGTAATATAAGAGTGGATTTAAAATTGAAAGTAGCCATGTCAATACTTTTCTGGTGACTTTTTTTAGTTTTCTCCTCTCATTCATACTCATTTGTAAATACTAAGTAGGCTACTTTAAACTCCTTGGTATGGTACATACATGTCAAAGTCAAAACTAAACAACACCAAACCAATTCAATACTCCAAATAAAAATTATTTAAAAATTGATTTCAAACTGAGGAACTCCTTATTTCAACTTACTAGTTTGATGCATTGTTCATTGTCATTAATTGATATCAATTTCAATTATATTCAATTATCTAAAATAGCTAGGCCCTGCCTCTATATTTATAGAAAAATATGGAATGATATTGATATGGTCAATATGGTTATGTTATGATATAGTAATTATTTCTGTAAAAGTTAGGTAATTTAAAAAAATATGTTATTTGAAACAAATGCTTAGAATAACTTCTAGTAATCATTGCAAGTCTCAAAAACGTAATTAATTAATGTGTTTCCAGAACCACCTGCTGGTGGTGAGCCACCTAAAATTGACCCCCTCACCTCTGCCACTATAAGCCAAGGAGACACCATTGAGCTGCCATGTGTAGCCAGCCAGGCCTATCCACTACCAAGGTTCACATGGAAGAAAGACAGTATATCACTGGCCATTGATGGCTGGAGATTGGCACAGCGTGGAGGCAACCTCTTCATCAGAAATGCAACAGTTAACGACAGCGGAGAGTACACTTGCACTGGCATCAACAGCCATTCCCAGGACTCTGAAACAATCCAGCTAACAGTTACTTGTAAGCTTAACATGCATTATATGACACTGTCTGAAATAAAACGTGTAAATCTGGAGATATAGATTTGTATGATATAATTTATGTGTCATGGAAATAGTAACCAATATAGAGAATTTCTAAATTTTTTCCTATTGTGTAGTTATAAAGTTACTTGTTAGCTTCAAATTTATTTTATTTAGTTGTGGCTAAGTATTCATACTAAGCAGAGATACACATCAATAAATAGATAATTACAAAAGGCTCCAACAAAGGAATTTTTTTATATGATTTAGTCAAGATTTAAAACTGAACTCAGGGTTTTATATTTTCAGCCCCTCTTTCAGTGCTAATAGATCCGCCTGAACAAATAGTGGACGCAGGTCATACTGCTATCTTCAACTGTACCACATATGGTCACCCCATCAATTCTTTCTCCTGGTTTAAAAATGGCAGACCGCTGGTTGTAAGCAAGCGTGTGTACATTGAGGCCAACGCCACATTGGTAGTAAAGGAAGTTGGAAGGGCTGACCAGGGAATGTATCAGTGTTTTGTTGGAAATGACAGAGATTCAGCTCAAGGAGCTGGTCAGTTATCGTTAGGTGGTAAGTACCAGCTTCAAATATTTAAGTCATAGGTGTTAAAAGATCATGTAGGTAGGTTGTTGTTTTTTTTTTCCATTAAATTCATATTAATTATAATGTAATACCCTTCATTTTATTTTTCCCCAAAGAAAAAAATGCAATTGTGTTAACTGTATAAAACTCTCAATCAATAGCCTTTTTTGTGTGTCAGGCATTGGAGAGTTAAGGCAAAGATCCCAGGAGTACCATTCATGGATTATTTTTTGTTAAGTTATTCTGAAGTGCACAGAAGCCAGCACTGCATAACTGAATCATTGGATTATTGAATATTAAAATCTTTTGTTCTGTTGCATGATCAAGTCAATTTAGAATTAGTCATAGGAGTCAACACAAATGCTTATTGATTTACCTTGAAAATATTGATTAGGGGGATTATAATTGATATGATAATGAAATGCAAGCTTGAATTGTTTTCAAGGGTGTATTGCATCTCAAGTCTTTTTTTTCCTTTCTATTTTAAAAAAAAAATAGCCGCACAACCTCTTGTGCTAGATGGTTTCCAAGAGCAGTTTGTTCAGACGGGTCAAAAAGTCACCATGCACTGTCGATTCTCCGGCAACCCTATTCCACTGGTAAAGAAATTATTCATATTGTTGTGGCTGTAATTTCTAAGGCTTGTATTCTATAACTGGGCATGATGCTTTTCTTTATAGTCCTAGAGAGGCCCATTTAATGGTAGGATATCTCCAATTGGATAATTGATTGTGATTACACATTTTTGGCTAGTTAGACCGAACCTCAATTTCTATTGCAGGTCAGCTGGTCACTGGATGGAGCTGACCTCCCCTTGGACCCAGCCATCGCTTGGAACAGTTTCATCACCATGGAGGGGGACATCATGAGCTATGTCAACATAAGTCGTGTGGAGGTGGCTTTAGGAGGAGAATACACCTGCTACGGGGCCAGTAAAGTCGGACTGGCCAAACACACCAACAGGCTCAATGTTTACGGTAGGTGGCTCAGATGAAATTCTCAGTGACTTAATCTTTGTTTAACCTTAGGCCCATTTCTCAGTCTCTCTTCTGATCTAGTCAATAATTTTATGAGATTATCAATACACCTTAAAATAGCAGTTCTCAACCTGTGGGTCACGACCCCTTTGCGGGTTGAACGACCCTTACAGAGGGGTCGCCTAAGACCATCAGAAAACACATATTTATGAAGTTGCAATCAAAATAATTTAATCTTTGAAGCTCACCACAACATGAGAAACCGTATTATAGGGTCGCAGCATTAGTAAGGTTGAGACCCACTGCCTTAGAAGGTATTCAGGTGCACTGAAACTTGTTTATTCACCCAACAGCGAATGTAACTTTATATTTCTGTTTTTGCATGCAGCACGATTATTAATTCTGTGATGTATTTCTGTATTGGCATATATCATACTTCATTTATTCTATGATGTATTGTACCTTATTCAATTGGTGTGGCCAGGTAAGCAATCTATAAAGCTGATGTAACATAATATTTTTTTCATAATCTGTATTGTCAGGGAATCCATTTATCAAGCCAATGCCTAATGTGACAGCAACGGCTAGTAAGGATTTATCATTGCGGTGCTATGTGTCTGGCTATCCCCTTGATTCTATTCAATGGAACAAAGGTGAGAAATATTTTTAAATCAAATGGATATATAATTTAAAACAAATATAAACCACTGCTCTAAAATATGTGAGAAATAAAAATGTGCTTTGAAATATCATTTCAGCCCACAGAAGCTTGAAAAATTATGGACTATTTAAACTTTATGCCTTCTTTAATCATTACTGAAATCATGAACCAGGATTAATTAATCTTGTTAACTGCATTTTTTTAAAAATGACATTTTAATTTTTTTGATGTTTTAAATCTTGAGCAGTTTCTATTATGTTGAGAGTTGAATGGATCTTCCAAAGGAAAAAATCTCAAAATGTATATCTCACACATTTAACGTTACTTTTTTAACACCATGCTGCCATGATTTGACCAGGTTCAGCTCAGTTGCCCATCAACCACAGACAAAGCGTCCTTGCCAATGGAACTCTGCTGATAAGACATGTCCAAAGAGAGGACTCTGGCCAGTATACCTGCGTGGCTCGGAACAGGGAACGACAGGGGATGGAGCGCAGCATGCATATTGCTGTAGTGGGTGCGTGCAGCTTGAGATATCTTCATTAATAACTTATGCTCACATTGTGGAGTTTACAGTTGCTTAATTAATATTAATAATTTTGAAAATCAGACACTTGAAAATATTTCTTGTTTCTTTTGACAATTAATGTTTGACAAAGTGTTTGCCTTTGTGTATTTGAAAAATTGAAGTCATCATGTTATTTTAAGACTTGATCAATCTATTAAATTTGTAGCTTGTTTTTGTTTGTGGTTTAAAAGATAAAAATAATTAACTTTTTTTTGTTTGTTTAAAAATAATTCAGAACCTCCCGTGATTGACCCATTCCACTTCCGGCAACGTAAGCAAGGGGACAGAATCCTGGTAACTTGTGCCATAATCAGCGGTGATCTCCCCATCACCATTCAGTGGGAGAAAGATGGAAGAGTCATTCCACAGGACCTAGGGATAAGGATACAGGTTGGTGAAATATAGGATATATTCTAAGCCAGGTATTCATTCTCATTGCATAAAATTATGTTAGCTCCACAAATTAGTGATTGAAAATTACATTTTTTAAAATATTATTTGTTACTTTTTTTTAAAAAGTCAATTTTTTCCTTAGCAACTGGGGGATTATTCGATCTTGTCAATCAATGGAGCTACACCCAAACATGATGGAAACTACACATGTTATGTCAGTAATGCAGCAGCTTCTGTCAATTACACAGCTTCATTACACATTGATGGTATGTTTGTATTTTAAAAAAAAGCTTAAATCAACATTACCTTATGAGGACTATGATATCATTTCAAATAATTTTTTTCTCAGGAAAGTTTTCTCTACCTGTAGATTAAGCTGAAATATGATCATAGAAATTGAAATAAAATATACAGTAATTCAATGGTATATTTTAATTAATAGTTTTCCACTCAGATATAATCTTAGTGAAATTTCCTAATAATTCTTTAGAATATTTTATTTTTGTGATTGAACAAAAAAAATCACACTTTGGATTAAATGTATTGTAACTTTTTTTTTTTTTTTTTTGCCTTGTGAAGTCCCTCCACGCTGGGTGATGGAGCCAGAAGATTCCTTTGTCATCCTGCACGAGTCTGTGCAGCTGGACTGCCAGGCAGACGGTACGCCGGACCCCCAGGTGGTGTGGAAGAAAGCCGAGGGCCTGACTCCCGGCAACTACCAGCGATTGACCTTTGACTCCACCCAGGACCACCGTGTGCTGTACCACAATGGAACTCTGGTCATCAATAACGCCAGAGAAGAAGACCACGGCTACTACCTGTGCCACGCCAGCAACGGAGTCGGGTTTGACATCAGTAAAGTCATTCACCTCAACGTTCACAGTAAGTGAAGTAGTCTGCCAGCGATTGGCCCATGATAGGGGTCTAAACAAGGCTCTTGGATCATTGAAAGATATTGAATTTGAATGTTTAAAGAATTTTGACTAAAATCAAATCTTCAGAATTTGAGTTTTGACACACTGCATGTTTCCGATCTTTCACAAATGAGGAAAAATTTATATTTAAATCAGCTTATTAACAAGATAAAATATAGGAACAATTGTAATTGTGCAAAGAGGATATTATTAAATTGAAATTATTTCAGTAGATACATAAGCCTTAGTGTTTCTTTGTAACTGAACTAAAAAAATCTTTGGGGGGCAAAAAAGTTATTTCAAGTCTTTGTATCTTTCAGTCCCTGCACGCTTCAATGAGCCACGCCACAACTACACTGTAATGAAAGGTCAGAGTATCACAATGGAATGCCAGGCAGTGGGAGACAAACCTCTCTCCATTTCCTGGAGTTTCCAAGGCACACCTATCAGCACATCGGCGACCAATGAAAGGTAACACATTGAAACCCAAACAACTGACACCCTTAACTCTTCCTCGTATGTGAACTCTTTTTGTTGTGTGCAGATAAATTGGGTTTTCAAAACCAGGTTGTAATGGCCTAGTGGCAACGAACTGGCTTAGATATAATGAGTCTTTACTTTGGCTTTTCAAAACCAGGTGGTAATGGCCTAGTGACAATGAGCTGACTTAGATATAATAAGACTTTATTTTGTTTCACTTGTCATCTATCTTTATTACATCCTTTATATTAACTTCGCTTTTGTTCGTCTGTTTTTTTTGTTTAAGGAAAAATCTTCGTCTGTGTTTTGGGTGCGGAGATTTGTTGATGCCACATGCTTTGTATTTGTGGCTTATTTGGGCATGCAGTATAAATAAAATTATTTTTGAAGGGGAAAATGAAGGAAATACGAAATGTGTTTTCACCAGAAGTTTACCCATTAACTAACCGCTTCTTAATGAATGATCAATCATGCACAATGACATACATGCAAACGAAAATGCCTTTAAAGGATTTATACCAAAAACCTTTGTTTTAAGGGGGTTGTTTGATTTTTGTTATTTTTCTGCATCAAAGTCAAAACAAAACTTTCTATTTCCATCTTTAAAGAAAAAGTTGAGAGTTATCTACATTTGTTGATAAATATCCATTTGATTAGTGATGTTCAATGTTGTTTATAATTAAGTAAATAGTGGAACAGGTTTTGTTCAGGCTTGAGGGGGAAAAAAAAGGGACCAATTAAAAGAACATTTTGGCTAAACACCTCCTTCAGCAGACGATGCAAAACAAGAAAAAAACAATTATTTGAAATAGGAAAACTTAAGTGCTCCCCAGATCACAAAGCAGCTCTCTCAGTCTCTGAAGTGGGACCTTTATTTTCCCCCCATGCCTGTCAACTAAAACCTTTGTAATATTTGACATTTCATTGCTCATTTAATTTCTTTTCCCATTTATTCTAAAAACAAATACAAGCATTTGGCATCAGTTTTTGACATTGAAACAAATTGTTGACCATTTCTCCTTCAACTGTAAAATTTCATGCTGCTGTGTGACCCGTTGTTTGTTTCGTCAGTTATAGTGAGATTAGCAATTTATTGATATACATTTAGAAAGTAAAATCATAACTTAACACTTCTTACATTGCATGTCAGGTCCAAGGTAGAGTCCCAGTCCACGCCCCGAGGCAAGTTGTCACAGCTCATACTGTCACCCACGACAAGGGAAGATTCGGGATTTTACACCTGTAATGCCAAAAATAACTTCGGAAATGGTGTATTGGTGAACTACCTGGTTGTGCATGGTAAGTCTTTTGTGTTCATTTGACATTACAAAATTTTTTTTCCTGGTCTCTGGTGGTAGATTTGTAGTGCTTACTTGGGGGTTGTGGGGGGTGGGGGGGTGGGGGGGATGTTTTAATCTGCTCTTTGAGTTTTTTCCTTTAGAAAAATTCACAAAACTGTTACATTATTTGTTGATCTGTATCACCATTACCTGAAAGCTTGGTTTTAATGCAATGTGAATATTGCTGTACTGGCAGCTATGTAGTACAATTGTGTCCTCATTCAAAATGTTAAACATTTTTAAATTCTATATGCCTGACTGAATAGCCAATGAAGATGATATATAGCTTAGCTATTTCCTGTTAACAACTTAAGCCCTGCTATTCCAATTATTATCTCCCATAACTAGAACCCCCAGAGCCTCCGAGTAAAGTGACGGTCACCAACATCACAAGCCGAAGTGTCATGGTCACCTGGGAGACACCATTTGACGGCAACAGTCCAATCATTGGGTACACTGTCCAGTACAAGAACAATACAGGTATCAGTGAGTTCTATTTTATGATTAGGTCACTTTTCTCATTTCTCGTGATGTCCAGAAAGAAAGGTGCTGAAAATTGGATATCACCAATAAAGGATTACAATTCTTTGATATTTTATCCTTTTAACTACATCTAAAAAAACAAAAAATTAAATTATTACCAGTGAGAAAGTTCAAAGATGTGATCTAGTAGTTTAATCATGCTTGCTACCCTACATGAATGGTTTTTCTTCAAAATTTCTTGTACTCCCTGCTTCATATCACTTTTCAAGGAAGATCTAATATGTTTAAATTAACATAAATTAAAATTAACCAATAAATCTGATTTTGTAAAATAAAATTCCTTTTTAACTGAAAATGTTTGACATTTAAATGCAAAGACAAACCCACACTCAGATTTGTCGTAGATCCTCACTGGGAATGAGTAAAATAAATTGTCTTGTTGCTGTTGCAGACATATGGCAGGGCATGCTACCCAACATGACGGTGACCCAGTCCAGACAGCAGGCCATCCTGGACAACCTGCTGCCGTCCTTCACATACCACATCCGAGTCCTTGCCAACAACTCTGTGGGTTACAGTGAGCCCAGTGAGATTGTGGAGGCCACATTGGAGGAAGAAGGTAACATGGGAACCACACACTGCAGGCTTAGAACAGAATGTTTTAAAGAACACTTTTTACTGTTTATATGTTGTTGAAAGTGGCCAGGGATGTGTGTGTGTATGTTTTTTTAAGCTGACTGTCCACTAGAACTCAGTTCATAGGTGTCAACTCAGTGCTTAGGTGTCAACTCAGTTCATGGGTGTCAACTCAGTTCATGAGTGTCAACTCAGTTCATGGGTGTCAACTCAGTTCATGGGTGTCAACTCAGTTCATGGGTGTCAACTCAGTTCATAGGTGTCAACTCAGTTCATGGGTGTCAACTCAGTTCATAGGTGTCAACTCAGTTCATAGGTGTCGACTCAGGGCTTATGTCTCAACTCATTGCTTAAGAACAGTAAAATGTTACTTCCCATTGTTGTAGCCTTTTATAATTTTTTGTATGTTTATCATTTCAGCTCCGACTGGACCTCCAGACAGAGTGACAGTTCAAGCTGTTGGATCTCAGGCTTTGAAAGTCATGTGGGAGGTAAGGGATGGTGGGGTGTAAGGGACAGTGCGGTGTAAGGGACAGTGGGGTGTAAAGGACAGTGGAGTGTAAGGGACAGTGGGGTGAAAGGAATAGTGCTGTGTAAAACTAGGGACAGTGGAGCGTAAGGGAAAGTGGGGTGTAAGGAACAGTGGGGTGAAAGGAACAGTGGGGTGTAAAACTAGGGACAGTGGGTGGTAAAATGGGGTAGATGGGGGTGTTAGGTGTTGGGTCAGTGTTGGGTAAGGCAGTACAAAGATTGAATCATTTTATGCTGACTCAACTACCAGACACCAATGTCAATGTATTTTTTAATTCTTGTTTATGCAGTCTTGTTTCTGGCAATAAGAAATATTATGTTTTGATATTTAAACCCTGTCTGTTTTGCACACGTACATCACAGTTTATGATAACGCTGAGATTAACATTTATTGTTTTAGATTAACATGTCCTAAAAAATTACAAAATCCTTTAATTAAAAGTCTGATAGATCATGTTTATAATTGCAATGAATAAGTCAGTCGATACCTTGTAAGAGAAGAGCCTGCTTTATTTTTATTTTTTGTAAAACTTACTCTCTCCAGCCTCCCGTCATTGGTTTTCAAAATGGCAAGATCTTGGGCTACTACATTGGGTACAAGGAGACCCAGAGCCCCGCACAGTTCATCTACCAGACCCATGAGGTGCAGGACAGCACAGACCCCACCAAGGTACTCACTGAGCACACCATCGGCAAGCTCAAGAAGTTCACACAGTACACGGTGCATGTCAAGGCCTACAACATCAAGGGCATCAGCCCAGCCTCTGTCAATCTGAATGTCTTCACACTGGAGGATGGTAGGTGGTGGCATGTTTCATGTGTTGTTTCACACTGGAGGGTGGTAGGGTGATGACATGTGTGATGTGTTGTAGAACACTGGAGAACGGTATCTTGTTTAATCCTGTGAAACAAGATGCTTAAAACAACCTTAGCCCCTAGAGAGCAACCCGTATGAAATGTTCAAACTCAATCTGTTTGCATGAAACTTAGGTAGGAGTTGCTCCCCATCTATGATTGGGCTGTTGTTTATCCTGGATATCTGTGTTATCAATATTGTTTCCTCAGTCCCCAGCCAGCCCCCGGAGGGAGTTCAGGCGACGCCGCTGAGCTCAGAGAGCATCAAAGTGGCCTGGTCCCCGCCACCTCTGTTCACCCTTCACGGAATTCTGCAGGGCTACAAGATACTGTACAAGCCTGTGAGACTTGACGAGGGTAGGTGCCTCAACTTGTCTGTCTGTTCCTCAACGACCATGCTAGTGCAGTTAATTCATTTAACAAATCAGCAATTTGAATCTCAGCTGTAGCAGGAAACTTCAACTTATGGAAGCAATGTTAGGTCTACAATTGTAGTATTAAACTAATTTTTTAAAGATGTATTTCAATATTGTAAAACATGCCAGTTTTTTTTTTAAATGTCCAGAAATGGGAATGTTACTAAGAAATGATGAGTGTTCTCTGAAATAATTTTTTATAATTTTTCTTTCTTTTAAAAAAGAAACAAATTTTAACCCTCTTATTTGTTTGAATAATTAATTATAAGGATGATGATACAAATTTGTTTTCGTGGGCTGGTGATCATCATCCAGATCTAGTAGGCAGTAGTAAAGTGGCCTTACCCGCTGGTGATAAGGAGAATGTCATCAATCTGCCCCAAGGCTTGCACAGAATAAATGTAGTTTGATGTCATGTATGGAACTTAAAAAAAAATAATTCATCCTCATTGGTATTAATCCTGTTCAAACATTTATGGTCTTCAGATGAAAGTGATGCCAATTTCCAGACGTCCAGCCAGTTGGAGATCGTCTTGTTCTCCCTGGAGAAGTTTACCAACTACAGCATCCAGGTGCTGGCTTACACAAGGAAAGGAGAGGGAGTCCGTAGCACCCCTGTCTATGTCAGGACACGAGAAGATGGTAGGGTTTATTTCTTTGAGCAAGCCTAATACAGTTCTGACAGTTAAAAACAATACACATGGAATCACTTTCTTAAGTTATCTTGAAGTAGACTCATTATATCATTTGTCTGTGCATTGTTATTCTGATGTAGACACCATTGTGGCTTGTCTATCTTGATGTTAACCAACCATAGCACTTGTCTATGTCATCTTAAAGTAGACACATCATTGCTCTTGTCTATATTATTCTGAAGTAAACTCACCATAGCAGTTTGATGTAGTTTCATCCTCCGTTCTCCTCCAGTACCCGATTCTCCTGCCAGCATCAAAGCCCTGGCTACAAACGACAGCGCCATCATGGTCTCCTGGACACAGCCTGCAAGCCCCAACGGCATCATCACCAAATACACTCTGTACTTCAATAACCAGAGCTCTCCTGAGGTAAATGATTGGCTCTTGACCTATTAAAATTGCTTACTTAAAATAGATGAAACAAAATATCAGATATTTTTTAATAAAGGTTGCCCCTCTTTAGGATAGACTGTTTGGATGTGATGGCCACATTGTACTATGCATTTAGGAAGGCACTGTATTACTGAATAAAAAATATTAAAACAACTTTTATAAAAAATGCTTTCTATCAAAGAAGAGTTTAATTTGCGCTTAAAAGTAGAAAATAAATAAATAACTTCTCAAAGTGCCTCACACCAAGTAAGTCGTGCAGAAGTTTAAGAGAGCAGTCTATTAAGCCAAAGTACTGGAATTAAATGCAGTGGTAACACAATTATGCTGTCTAATGATTGCATGAGTTATTTCAAAGCAAAGCATCATGAAGTTGTCAGGGTTTTTTTTAATGGCATTTCAGGTAGAAGATGTCATCATTGAGCTGCCACCAAATGTGACCTACTACATGATGGGAGGTCTCCTGCGTGGGGTGGATTACGCCTTCAGGGCATCCGCTTCCACCGTCATGGGGGAGGGGAAAAGTACCAAGTACATCGGTGCCAGCACTTTGGTTGTTGGTGAGTCTCTGGGACTTGAAAGAGATTTTGGAAAGGATGGGCTAGTAAGCTAGTTGGCACTGGTCAGTGTGCCTTAGTTGTTTGGACAACACTGACTTATCTTATTTATTTTTTCATAAGAGGTGGTTGCAAATGTAGGGGAATGCATGGTATGTATTATTTTCATTAATGAAATTTATTTTACTATTATATTAAGGGTATGCACTACTTTCACCAATATTAAAATTTATTTCACTATTATTTTAGGGGTAAACATCGTTTTCATCAGTGATATTTATTTTACTATTATATTGGATGGGGCATTGCACTGTATTTCATTCTTGTTGAATAAACTTGATTGTTTCTCACTCTGCGCTCAGCTCCCGCTAGAATCGCCAGCTTTTCTGACATCCTGACAGTCTCCTGGCATGAAGATGTCATTCTGCCTTGTCTCACGGTTGGCAAGCCTCGGCCAACCATACAGTGGAGGCTAAGGTAAGGAAGTCATGGCATTCAGCTTGAAATTTACCTTGGTTAAATTTTTAACAATATTTTTAAAAATAGGTATGAGCAAGATGTTTCATCTCTCTGATGTCCCATCTGTATCCAATGTCCCATCTTGAAAGTCCCACCTCTATTTATATACTTGATAATAATAAATATAAAAATGACGACATTTAGCACAGGTGTTCTTTAACCTAGAGGCCCTGCACAACTTGGTGGGCAAGCGTGTCTTAAACTGAAACAAATTTCAGGGTCTAGTTTTGTATTAAATTCAGCCATGACAAGTGCTAGAAATTGAAAAATAAAAAATAAAAAACGAACCTGGCTTTATCTGAGCATGATTCAAAATTGAGTTTTCAAACTTGACATTGCTGTAATTTTTTGTGACAGGAACCAGCCCATCACCAATTCTGAAAGGATCAGCGTGACAGAAGATGGGTCCCTGCACATCACATCTGTGACAGGGACTGACGCAGCCAACTATACGTGCTATGCTGAGAACCCTCACGGCAGTAGCCAGATAGCATACACTTTACGTGTCCAAGGTAAAAATAGTCTCATTTGTTTTTAGTGCAGCCCCTAATTCCTAGTGCATTATGGTTAATTATGTGTATAATTATGACATTAAGCTACTGGTGTATGTCACTCTATATCGTCTACATTTAAACTGGGTATATTCAGAATAGTTTGATAATTCACTTCATTTCTTTTCTTACAGTTGGTGATCATAAGGGAAGTAAGTAAAATATTTCTTTTACATTTGGCAAAAACTAATTTAAATTAATTATTACATGTGATATTTTAAATGGAGACATTAGCAGGACATTTATTTTAGTAGGATGGGTAAATAACATCTAGGTCCTATGTGTGGTTAAACATGTGCTAGGACAATTGTACATATGAGATGTGGATCATGTGGTTAAGTCAGTTGGGATGCATGTGCCCTTTACCACCTGCACTCTAAAGTGTGACCCTTGACTTAGGCCCTTATTTCCTGTCGCTAAACCTCAGACCTTTAACTTTTCAGTTGTAAAATTTTTACTCATGCAGCTTTTCAATAAAGATGTGTGGTAAGACAGGATCTGAGTGCCCTTTAACCTGTGACCTTTTACCCATGTAGGCAGAGTTTTACTTTATCATTAAGTCTATGGATGCAGGGATTTGAATCAATCTTTCCCTTGCTTTCCCCAGCTCCTCCGCACCCCCCTCACCTCTATCTGGTGCTCACCACAACAACGACCATACAGGTCAACTGGTTGTCAGGAAGCAACGGGGGCAGCCCAATCCAAGGTGAGATGAAAGTTTTATTTAACATTTTTTTAAATGTTTGTTTCATCGCTCAGCACGATGGCTTATAAAAATCTGATGTTTTCACATAAGCCCTACATGCTCATTACAATGCCCCCCCTCCCTTAAACAAATTTAATAAACTTATTATAAATGAATTTGTTCACTGATCATTTTACTTAAAAACTGAGTTAATTTTAACTTTCATTTAATCTATTAAGAAAAATGTGTTTTTTTAGTGAATCCTTGAATTTGATACAACCTGCTACCAGTTACCTACATTACTGAGATGCTGTAAGTCCTAGCATAGATTGGAACGGAGTTTCAAGTGCTGATGGTGTGTTTAAATAATCTCATGCATTATATCACATTCAGGATTTGTACTGAACTACAAAAAGGAACACAACGGTTGGAAGCCGCTGTCCTTAGGGCCACAGAACAGAACTTTCATTGCCAACAATCTGATGTGTGGGACCCAGTACAAGTTCACAATACGAGCATTCAACAAACTTGGTGACAGTCTCGATTCTGAGACAGTGACAGCAAGGACCAATGGTTCAGGTAAGTTGGGATCTGGATCTGTCTCAAAGCAGATCTTTGTCATATGGGGATGTGTTACTTTAACTGAGTTTAACATTTTTAGAAAGTCTGCCCATTATCTGTTTGTCCTATGTCTGAACTCAAATTGTGTTCTTCTTACAGCTCCAATAATTTCACCACAAAGCATGTTGTTGGCTGCTGTGAATGCGACCTCTGTGACCCTTGACCTGAATTCCTGGCAGACATCCGGCTGCCCAATCAGATTCTTCTCAGTCAAGTACCACGTGTGGGGTGACGAGACGTGGCACTTAGTGAACAACAACATCGCGCCAAACACGGTTCGCATATTTTAACTTGTTTTGCCGGAGTAAACATTTTGCTAAAACTGTGCTGTCAACCCCTCTAGTGCCATGTTGGTGAAAAATTAGAGATAGTGTTATTGGATTTCTGATGGAGATCTCCCATGTTTAGTGCTGGAGAATTTCACGACAACTGACAAAAGACCATTTTCACCTACCAATATTTTTAAGTGATTTCCTCAAATTATTCATGTTTTTATATTTTCAACCTTTTCACTGAAGTTTTAGCTTCACAATAGCGTTAATAGTTTTAAATTGCCAATGTCCAGCGATTTAATAATCTCATTCATGTGACCCCACCCAGACCTTGTTTGTGGTCCAAGACCTGTTTCCTGCCACATGGTACATCATGGATGTTGTGGCGCACAGTGATGCGGGGTCTACAACTAGTCAGCTCAAGTTTGCCACACTGACATTTGCTGGGAGTGAGTTTTGAAAGAAATATTTGTTTTTGTCTTAAGTTCAAGATTGAGACCATAATCATTTTAATATCTTATTGAACTGCTCAAGTTAAACTAACATTTTGTCTTAAGTTCAAGATTGAGACCATAATCATTTTAATATCTTATTGAACTGCTCAAGTTAAACTAACATTTTGCATGACTACATGAAAGCATGAATCCATTTGAAGTCTGGAATATTTATTTAAAAATAAGCATTAGCTGATGATCTTCATGTTTATATATACATTTATCTCATTAATCTTTTTTAAACCTAGGTACAATCAAGCCACTTAAGGTCCTTCACAAACAGGAAGTGGAGTTCTACGAAAAGGTCTACCTGATGGTCCCAATATGTGCGGCAGTTGTGTTTCTCTTCTCTGTTGCAGTGGCCATGTTTTTGTTCTGCCGTCGTCGAAAGGACAGGCTCAGATATAAAGGTGACCTATCTTTGATCTCATGGGCTCAGTTTAAACAATGGTAAACGTCAATAATTTGGAAAATAAAAATTGTCTGCGGGGACTAAACATTTAGCATTAATGTATAATGATGCTTGATCTAATGATATGAATTGGTTTAATTTAATAACCTGTTTCATTCCTGGCCTATGCATTTGTTTTTTGCCAAAAGTGTCTTTACCCTTTCAAAAAATTATACTTTTCAGAACATGCCGCCAACTTGCGCAGGGATATCACAGCAGAGACCTCCCTCATGAATGACCTTGACAAAAGGCTGAACACCGAACTGGACAGCAGCAGTAGCAGCACGCTCCCCGAGCACATCAGCAAGCAGCGTAATGCCAACCTGCTGATCTCCCTGCAGAGTGATGATAACCTACCTGGCAACAGCAGTGCCTGGCTCATTGATGGCAGCAACAAGACGACCAGCGACAACGGGAGCTTTGGGCGTTCTGGTGGGTTACCACAATTGTTTTTTTAAACTGATATAAGCCTAAGGCTTCTGCTGCCACCTGTAATATATCAAGTAACTATTTTCAAGCATTCATTCTTAACTCTAATATTTGAATCTTACTATTCCTATATTTTTTATTGGGGTGCTAAAAGTTAAATTGAATACGTTTCAGAAGATGAAGGAAACATCAACCCATACGCCACGTACAATGAAATCAAACAATCCCTGAACCCTGAAATCAGAACTACCATCGCCTTGAAGGGAGCCGCTGTGCCCAAATCATCATCTGAGGAGGATGACATAGCCATGCAGAAGGCAGCTGCCAGGCGAGAGGTCAGTTCCCCATGGAGAGCTCTTGGCTGCTATTGTGTGTCTTTAAGCTTTAACTTCACACATTGTGACCGATGTGTGCCAGTAAAAATAAACTTTAACTAAAACATAATGATTTGCTCTAGCATATCCAATAGTTAACTCTCTCGTCAATTTATATATGTATATATGGTATATGTTTGTTTACTTGGTATCCACAGATGGAAGATTACCAGTCCAAACAGTCCACACAATCCACCACATCAACCCCATCTGAGCCGTACGTTCCGTTTTTCCATTCAAAGAGAGAGAAGCAGGCCAAGTATGCCAAGAAACAGCCTCCACCTCCCCTCCCTGCACCTAGGCGAGCTCAGAAAGATGCAGCCACTAAGGAGGGCTATGATAACCAGGGTGAGTTGGGTCATCTGAAGGGCTATGATAACCAGGGTGAGTTTGGTCATCTGGAGGGCTATGATAACCAGGGTGAGTTGGGTCATCTGGAGGGCTATGATAACCAGGGTGAGTTGGGTCATCTGGAGGGCTATGATAACCAGGGTGAGTTTGGTCATCTGGAGGGCTATGATAACCAGGGTGAGTTTGGTCATCTAAAGGGCTATGATAACCAGGGTGGGTTGGGTCATCTAAAGGGCTATGATAACCAGGGTGAGTTGGGTCATCTGAAGGGCTATGATAACCAGGGTGAGTTTGGTCATCTAAAGGGCTCTGATAACCAGGGTGAGTTGGGTCATCTGGAGGGCTATGATAACCAGGGTGAGTTGGGTCATCTAAAGGGCTATGATAACCAGGGTGAGTTTGGTCATCTGGAGAGCTATGATAACCAGGGTGAGTTGGGTCATCTGGAGGGCTATGATAACCAGGGTGAGTTTGGTCATCTGGAGGGCTATGATAACCAGGGTGAGTTTGGTCATCTGGAGGGCTATGATAACCAGGGTGAGTTGGGTCATCTAAAGGGCTATGATAACCAGGGTGAGTTTGGTCATCTAAAGGGCTTTGATAACCAGGGTGAGTTTGGTCATCTAAAGGGCTATGATAACCAGGGTGAGTTTGGTCATCTGGAGGGCTATGATAACCAGGGTGAGTTGGGTCATCTGGAGGGATATTATAATCAGGATGAGCTCAGTCACTAAGGAGGGGTATGATAAGTATGATGACTTCGAGGGACATGATAACCTGAAAGCTTGAGAATGGTGGCTTTAAGTGGTGCCCATAATTTTAACAAGGGGAGAGAATGCAATCACATTAGAAAAATGGACATGAGCGAAACATAGTATGGGAAAACCTAAAAAAAAGAATGCTACAAAACAACGAAAGTGTCGGCAAGAAGCCTTCATCAGCTAACAAACAGTTAATTTCTTAAATTTTAGAATCCCTGCAATACAAAGATATAATTATAATGCAGGATTTAAATGGCAATATCAATAGTCTTATGTCATTGGTCACCCAACTGGGTTCTGCATCCACATCTGCATAAACCCTAGTGTATATAATCAGGCCTACTTCTAACCTACTCTTTTATCATTCAGTTATTTTGATATGTATATCATTCAACATTTTTCTCCCATCTGCCAGGTGTCATCCTCAGCCCTCGACGTTATGCCAGTGCCGATCAGATTCATGCGCTGTTCTCCCAACCTTCACGGCCGCACAGCAGCATGAAATCTGGCTCGGAATCCACAGATAAAGGTACTATTTTCAAAGCAGTTATATTTGTAGTTGACACAATTGCCTGCATCACTGAATGGCTGGCCTGACCTACTAAGCCAAGAGGAAACAGTAACCTAATTATTCAACAGATGCATTCTGCAAATAAGTGCAATCCCTGTATTCATGCCAAAGCTCTGATTGTTTCCTAATGCTTTCTGTCTCTGTGCTAAGGCTTTAAAATATTTAATCAACCTGTTCAAAATATTTTTGGAGTCATTACTTCTGGTCTCATTTAACTGCTCATCAGATTTTTAAAACATATAAATAAATATAAATGGATTGAAATGCGAATCAAATTTTTAATGGCCAATGAATGCCATTTGGAGCAGAAACATGGGAAACAACTCCAAGCATTACACAGAAAGTACAGGCATTCATAAACACATGCTTTAGAAAGATCCTGAACATCAAATGGCCAAATACCATCAACAACAAAGATCTACTAGAAAGTACTTACCAGGGGCTCATTAATGAAGACATCATAAAGAAAAGATGGAGGTGGATAAGGCATACTCTTTAGAAAACCCCAGATAGCATCACCAGAAAGTGTCTAACATGGAATCCACAGGGAAAAAGAAAGGGAGGAAGGCCTAAGAATACATGGAGACGTGAGCTAGAGGCAGACAAGCAAAATATGTGATATACCTGGAAGCAATAGGAAAGGAAAGCACAGGACCGTGATGAATGGAAAATTTTTGTGGCGGCCTATGCCCCAGACGGGGTAGAAAGGCATACGAAGAAGTAGAAGACATGATTGACCTTTTATCTTGTTAGATTCAACATTGATTTAACCTCTTCTTCAGCTTTCTACAGCATAAATGTGCTTGTTGATTTCCAATTACAAATTCATTCAGTTTATTTTAAAATTAATTTGGCCACTATTGGCTTATTTGTCTTCCCACGTCAGGTTCACAGAGACACAGTCTGATATCCAGTGTGACCACGGTCTCCTCAAGTCGAGATGAGCTGCTGGAGGCTCTGGAAAACGCCAAGAGAAATCCTCCACCCCCAGTGTTGTACGAGAGTGAGAATGATCCTCACCCCGACGGAGGGACGGAAGGTGACCTTGACCCCGATTCAAGCTCCCAACCCACAGACAGTTCCGTGAGTGTCTGAAATTGATGAAATGTTATCCATGAGCTCATCAGTGATCTTGATCAATGCTAGTTTTTTTTTCTACAATTTACTTTTGTGATAAATAAGTCTGTCTTCATAAGCCCCTGTGATATGTTTAGTATCATATGATAAAAAGGCTAATGGCTTGACAAGTGAATGACAACATTTGTTGGAAAATCTTAACCGGTGTCAACTTTGGGTTCTCTGGAAAAAATTTTCATCAAATAAATCAAACGTATCTACCAGAAGACAGAATCTCTGCATCCTCTTTATTTGATGCTTTTGTTAAAGATAGCTAAAAACTATTTTTAAGCAGATAATTCTACCATAAATTTAACCATATCTTGATAGACCCGGTGGCATTTGCCCAGTTGGCCATTGAATCAGGTTGTTGAACATAATCTTTTGGTGGCTAAAAAAATCAATGACATTTTAAAATAAATTTACACAAATATTAATATTATTATTATGCAGGTGACCACTGAGCCGGGCATCAGAATGTTTACTCAGTCACCCCCCAAACCAAATGAACAAAGACAGGCATCTTGTGAGGTGCCGCCCTATGAGCAGCAACGTAAGTCTTCTGTCACAAAACTGCTTGAATTTTAAAAATGGTATTAGTCATGGCATGTAATTCATTTGTATGACTCCACTGCCCCCTACCAAGGCATCTTCTTAATAAATCTAATAGTTTTTTGTAGCTCATTTTAATCAAATAATAAAATTGAATTAGTCTTAAACTAAGTTTCAAGAGAAATTATTGTAATTATTATTCAATTATTTTTTTTTAATTAAACCGCAGGCCCGCCCACATGGGACTAATTATGACAGAGTTAATATTTATTTATTCTTTTGTCATGTGACAGAAAAACGGAGGAGACCACAACGGATGCAGGTGGAGAGTGATAGCAATGAGGCACCAACCACTGCGCTCAGGCGACCACTGCCTCCAAGGAAGGTCAGACCTCGGCATCGAGGCAAGCAGAGAGGTCAGGTGACCGGGAAGAGACCGCTTGGGACTTTCATGCCAAGGTAAGGATGGCTACAGATGGTGGGCTACAGATGGTACACTGAAAATTGAATCAGTTCTAGTAGGCTACAGATGGTGGTCACTGAAAATTGAATCACTTCTTGTGGGCTACACATGATGGTCACTGAAAATTGAAGTTTATTTTTTCCCCATAGCATCAGAAAGTTTGTCTTCATATCCTTACTTATATTTACATGGCCCTGTTGTCTAATAGCCAGATGTCTTTTATTCATCACCTGATAAGGCAACAGTTTTCTCTCCCCTCACCTGTGCCATACACAGGATGGATGCTGACCAGGGCTGAAAAATTGGGGGGGGGGGGATAATTCATTATATTAAACTAAAGAGGTATTTCTAGTCTTTGGATATTTTTTTTTTGGTCTTCTCTATAACTTATTTTTTATATTAGCATCTTGGTCTATAAAATTTTTTTTAATACTCTTGTCATCACATTTCAAAGATGTATCTTTATTGCTCTCTCTCTTCCACCCCCCCCCCCCCTTTTGCCAGAACCCAGAGTGGCACCAGTACTACAAGTACCAACAGTGAAGAGGTCACCTACACTTTTGGTGAGCGGGCTCAGACGCCAAGATCCAACAGCCCAGAGAGTTTGCCCCCTTACTCTGCAGCTGTAGCAGCTGCAGTCACTGAAGGGTTTGTTGAGTTCCGCTCTGAAACTGGCCGACCTAGAAGAGGTGAGACTCCGACAGAGAGTGGGCAATCTTTTTGGTCTCTGTACATATTTAAATGACCTCTTTTTTTTTCATAACATTCCTAAAATATATATACCATATATTTGAATTTGTATATTTTTTAGTGTGGAAAAAACATTTTATAACAAAAACTAACCAAATACATTTATTATTTAATTTTAAAGGAGGTCGAAGGACACCACATGCCAGGGTCCGTTATGATACAAATATTCAGACCCCTGGCACTGATGACCACCGTCCATTGGTCACTTCATTGGCTCACCCAGCGCTGGCCACATCACCGGAGGAGGAAGAATCTGTCAGTTTGCTGGACAGGTAAGAAGGGCACACCTTGACTTTTTTTTTTTTTTATGTCACCTTATCTTCTGAGTACAAACTTTTAACTCATAATGTATAACCTATGGCAAATTTGATTTTACTCAAACTTTTCTAATGCTTAATGGGTCAAAAAGGTAAACATTTTTTTATGTTGGCTTCATTGTAAATATGTAACAATAAAAATAATTTAAAATCTTTAAGGACAACAATAAAAAAACATACGACAGACTAACACAGTGTTTAATTAACAAAATTAAGTTTAAAAGTGAAAACGTGTCTTTCATTAATTGCACTGACATTTTCTACAGACATTACCGACCTGTACCTGAGGAAGAGACTGAGATGGAGACGAGATCTGGCAAGGAAGGGAAGCCAGACAAAGGATACACTGAAGATTTCACCATTGTATAGTCCCGTCTTTGAAACAGCAGCTTTCATGCACTCTTAGAACACTTGAATCATTGACAAGGAGAACTCTCTAAATGGAGCCTGCCCTGGGAGTTGAGGCCCCCCCCCCTAGTAGAGACCGCTGTTGAAGTTCCAAGAGATGGGATTGTGTCAGTTCTTCTAATTTAATGCTTAATGTTTTGTGAACATCAGCTGTTTTCAAAGATAAATCAGAAGGAAAAATGTTTTGGCAAAACTGAAGTCCTTGGTGTCAACGTTAATTTGCTCCTTGCGCTTCATTTTGTTTTAATTCCAAAACATGGACATTGAATGCAATATTCACCTCACTTTGTGGATATGGCCATGTGAGAGGTTCCATCCTAGTGCCGCTAAGTTTCTTTCAATCTCCGTTATATAGCGCAGCTAATATTCCTGCTGTCAATGTTGTAATATGGCTAAAACTCCTTCAGTGTTAAATGATTGAGGGAGTTACATTTTGTAGCTCCGACAATATATTTAAAAAAAAATAGTTTTGTTTGCAGTTGACTTTGTGTCCGCTAAAGATTTCAAACTTTGGTGCTACATTAGGCTACCTGCCTTTGAAGCTGGAACAGCTTTGCGCAGCCCTACAGAGACAAATATTTCTGTGACATTTTTTTTTTTCAACATGGACGATTTACATGGATGTGCTCTTATATTAAATGATACAGTGATGCACTAAATCACACAAGACAACAGCCAATATTAATGGAGCTTGTGTGTACTAAATTTGAAAATGATGTTTCTTACTTGAGCAACAATTCATTGATGTGTACAGGAGTAAAAAGTTTCTTCAAATTTCATTTTATATTGGACTTATTTTTAGCACGAATAAGTTTTTTAATTACAAAAAAAAACAATGAAATGTCTGTTTTGAATCTGACTAGAATAAATACTGCTGAGAAATATTTAATCATGAACCAAACGTGAATTCTGTGGAGGATTTCTTAAGCTTGAAAAGTCTAGCCCATCAAAAGCAGTCAGAACTCTTTGGGCATCATGGATTTACAAGTCATAAATGCTTCTATGTCTTGGATTTATTGGATTCCTTACAGTGCATTCAAGTGTTTCATAGCGACTTTCCTATGAATTCTCTTTTATTATTTGATGAGATAACAAAAATTAGTAAAGCTTTATTAGTTGCTATCACTTGTGGAAAATCCAAATGAAAAACTCTAAATGAGTATTTAATAGTTTCATTGAACTGAAATTGAAAATCATGTGTTTTGATTTTAAGAGTGGAACTCTTGTGTTACTTGGTTAAAGGAGATAATGGCCAGTTTGTATTTATTGCTATACTGTTATTGTGTAATATATTACAACAAAAGTCAAAAGCACCACTTAAAATTAAATTGTGCAACTTCTGTGTAAGGTAGTTGGTTGTTTTATGGATTCTACTATGTCTTAAGCCCTCAAAATATGAGAACCACTTATAGACTAGATCACAAGTGAAACAGATTTGTTTACATGGGGCAACATTTGTGCACAGTGTTGGAAGGCATCTCACCATCATCAGCATAACAGCACATCACCAGAAGTCATCAGACATCACCAGACGCCATCAGAGGTCACCAAGTATCATTGAATATCATCAAATGCCATCAGTTGTTACTATATATCATCAGACATCACCAGATGCCATCACCAGATACCATCAGATGTTACATATATCATCAGACATCACCAGATGTCATAATATATCATCAGACTTCGCCCAATGTCATCAGATGTCACCATATATCATCAGCTATGATTAGACATCATCAAGACATCAGCACCATTTCATTTCTAACTGGCCTTAGCATTAACTCCATCATGTTTAAACTGTCTTCACGTCACATTGTTACAGTGTTAGAAGACATACTGCCTGGTTGGAGTTCAATGTAACCTATTACAACAACTGGTAAAATTTTGTTTATTTGACACGGCCATAAGAGTCAATAAGACCATTTCTTTGATATCCAGTTCCAGGCATGGTAAAATCTGTCATACACATAAATTAATATTTTATTTTTCATTCCATATTTTTATAATATATTTCATTGCATCTCATCAAAATGACTGAACTATATTTACTTCACAACCAATCTTAATTTTTTTTGTATTTCCTTATTTTCATTCCAACCAGGTCGTGATACACTGGTCATGCCATATTTTATTTATTGACTTTTTAAAAACAAACTGATTTAACACTTTTTTACTACAAACAAGTGAAGAGGCACTGTCTGAGTTTTTATAAAACTGTTATTTACTTATTATGATGCCATGTCCTATTGGGTTTATAAAAAATGTGTTTAAGTTCATTTACATATTCACAAAATAGCTCATTATTCTAATTACGTTGTCACAAGATACATTTCTCATAAGTTACAGGTCAAATCGTAATGATGCTATATCCTTATGTCTAACTTAAAAGTTCAATTTGGTTCAGTTTTCTGTGAAAACCTGGCACTGCTTATTTTTTTTAAATTTTGCCATCTTTTTTTTTTCTTTTAAATTTTTTAAAATGTATTTAATTAGCATGACAAATCCTATTTTTTGAAAGAAATAATTTTTATAATATATTGAAGTGCAATATAAATGTAGATACTCTTGTTTAAACATAATAATAATATATAATACTATGTCCGACCACTTCCCATGGTTTCATCATGTAAATGACTTCACTGGCATTATTATAGCTGTCTTTTACTTTTGAAATCTTTAGGAAAATGAAGATGGTCTAAGCTGTTTAACCACTGTGAACAGATAGAAACAAAAAATTGAAGATTTTTATCTTTTCTTAAATATCCATGAGTCCAAACAATCTTATGTTTGTTTCTATTCTATAGAATGGTACTCAAGATAATAGTAATGTAACTAAAAGGTGTTATTCAGTGAATTTATGTCACATTTGAAAGATTCGAGGAGTTGAGAATACATTTTTTTTAAATCTCAACCTTTAAAAATTAATTCTAATGTTTACATTTACTGGAGAGAGCAACTGAAATATATTTAGCGGAACAATTTTATAAAAAATAACATAAATCTTTGATGAATATCTTTACAACTGATTCATGTGGATTTCTGCATTTCTTAAAGAAGATAAAAAATTCAATTTTTTATTTATTTTGTATTTATTTTTAAATTTGTATCTCTTAGCACTGTTTTTACACCGAGTTGACCAGATACACCAGGTCACCATGTTACCCCTGTTTAGAATTCATATCTGATACCATTCTCCAGTCCCCAAACCCATTCTTTGTTAGCAAACAACATATCGTCTCACTGTAAATAGCATCTCATTATTTATATACCATGTCCATGTGTGTAGCATGCTGTCACTTTGTCCATACGGGAAAAAAGACTTTGGAGTGGACCAGTATTAATATACATGTAATATGTCCTTTTATATAAAAATAAGTCTAGCTTTCATAATATTTTCTTCAGCCCAGAACTCCTAGTTGCATTGTGATTGTGAATGGGAGAAGATTGTTTCATTCTTTTCTTTTGATGCATTTATAATTGTCCATTGCCTAATCTCATTCAAAATCATTGCTTGTAATCTAATCACCCAAAACCATAATGTAAGACATTACTTGTATTTTTCAACAACAAAATCTTGCACCATTCCATTCCTGCATACAGTTATTATACATATATGTATTATGTTTTTGATTATTTAAATGACATTTGATGTATTATATATTCACACCCAAGTCCTAGCCGATACATATATATAAATATACACCTAAGAGTTTAGTGTAAGCAACCATATTTTATTCTCAAACTACTAATGCTATGTTTTAAAATTTATCATTTTAAAAAAAAACTTTATAGAACACCTTGTATGAATTGACTAAATTAATACAATTTTAATCAACTTTGGCTATTAACTACCAGTTTTAAAAACGTTTATTTAAAAAAACAAATTTGTCGTTTAATTATGTTATAAGTAGAAGCTGGTTTCAAAAAGGCTTTACTAAGACTAAATTTAGATTTCATCCTTGCAGTAACTCTTCTCAAAAATAAAACATGATCAAACATCATCCTAACACCATTGGTAGTGGTCTCGCTTAGTTTCCACATGTGATGCCAAATCACCTAAACAGTGGGGAAATAATGAGATTGAAAAAAATAAAAAAATTAGTAGAAAATTTTTAAGCTTTTGCTCATGCAAAATAAAGTTAATTACCACTTAGGTAAAGTATTTTAGTTTTATAAGGAAATTGCAACAACAGCAAAAAATTTAATATTATTTTTTTTATATATTCGCGAGGACGTTTCTACTTGAGATAAAAATATTTTATGACCTACCACCCATAAGCCTTGAAAATAATTGTAAGTGCCTCGGATGAAGTACATGTCACAAAACACTTGACCTGTTTTATTTTTAATTATTTCAATGTGTTTCACAAAACAAGTTTGGGGGAAGCATTTTTTTTCCCTTTTGGATATCATTATTTTCTCACTAGCACTTTAGGATAATGAAATGAATTGATTAAATCTTGGGTGAGTTTTGACTGTTTCAGTGGTGATGGATCGCACATGTACAGTTAGATCAGTTGGAACTTGCTAACTTCCTTCATAATCATG